AATAATAGTTTTTGTGCTAACATTTTGAGAACATTACCATTTTTTTAAAATTGCTTACACACTAAAAGTTGAAACCATTCATTCATATACGGAATCTTCAGACCAAGTCTGCAAAACTGCAAGCATATTAACAAACATTTTGCAAAACGTTAAACACAGTTCTCTACATTAGACACATGATTAATTTGGCAAACACTGCCTTTTAAATGGCACACTTATTTACTGGTTACCTACATCCATTGATCATGTGTGAAAACATTTATACATAATTAGTTCACTCAGAAATCAAATCTCAATGTTTTGAGGAAGAAATACAGTTTTTCTGAATTGCTAAAACACATTTCTTGAAACCATCACTCATTTTCACGAAACCTTAAACACAAATCCAAATACTCAAACTAAATTCATGAAACCTCTGACTCTTCCATCAAAATCAAACAATCACTGCAGAACCATTTCACTTGCACTCAAAATCAAACGGTGCTCTCAGATCACACACACACACACGAGTCAATAAAGAAAAACACTACAGAGCATTCATTAGACACTACAGAGAAAAATGGAGAACACAGCTTCCCTTTTGAATTGGGATCTCGCTTATACTTAGAGTGTAAACTAAACGAGCCAATGCACATTGGCATGCGATTATTACATCCAGCTGCCGCTGATCACAGTGTGAGTATAAGTAGGCAGCCGGTGCAGCGCATATTCAGCTTTTCGCTTCGGAGGGGGTTGGATGTGGATGGTGCCCCCATGGTAGCAAGCACGTACTAGTCCGCACGGACAACACTGCGACCGATGCATACATCAACCGACAAGGTGGTCTATGCTCCCGTCGCATATCGCAACTCACCCGCCACCTCCTCCTCTGGAGTCAGAAGCATCTGAGATCGCTTCGTGCCATTCACATTCCTGGTCTGCACTCCCGGGAGAATGGAGACTCCATCCCCAGATGGTCCAGCTGATTTGGAATCGTTTCGGAGCCGCTAAGGTAGACCTGTTTGCCTCTCCAGAAACTTTTCACTGCCAGTTGTTCTACTCCCTGACCGAGGGAACACTCGGCACGCGTTTCCCCCAGTGAGCCTTCTCGCACAGGCACTGTGCAAGATCAGGGAGGATGAGGAGCAGGTCCTGCTCGTGGCGCCTTACTGGCCCACTCGGACTTGGTTCCTGGAACTGGTGATCCTCGTGACAGCCCCTCCTTGGCAGATTCCTCTGAGGAAGGATCTACTGACTCAGAGACGGGGCACCTTGTGGCACCTGCGTCCAGACCTCTGGAAACTTCATGTCTGGTCCCTGGACCGGACACGGATGTTCTAGGTGACCTACCCCAAGAGGTAGTTGACACCATCACTTCGGCGAGAGCACCGTCTATGAGACACACTTACGCCTTGAAGTGGAACCTGTTCGTTGAGTGGTGTTCTTCTCACCGAGAAGACCCCCGGAAATGTCCGATCAGAGTCGTACTGTCCTTTCTGCAGCAGGGGTTGGAGCGAAGGCTGTCTCCCTCCACCCTTAAAGTCTACATGGCTGCGATAGCTGCCAACCACGACCCCGTTGAAGGGAAGTCGGTGGGAAAGCATGACCTGATCATCAGGTTCCTTAGGGGGGTGAGAAGGTTAAATCATTCACGGCCCCCCTCCATACCTTCTTGGGACCTGTCTCTAGTGCTCAGAGTATTACAGCAGGGCTCATTTGAGCCTCTGCAGACAGCTGAGCTGAAGTTTTTGTCAATGAAAACTGCAATGCTTGCATTAGCCTCCATCAAGAGGGTAGGGGACCCACACGCATTTTCGGTCGACGATTCGTGCCTAGAGGCCCGGCTATGTGCCCAAGGTTCCCACTACTCCCTTCAGGGATCAGGTGCTGAGCCTGCAAGCGCTGCCCCCGGAGGAGGCAGACCCAGCCCTAGCTTTGCTTTGTCCCATCCGGGCATTGAGATGCTACATAGACAGGATGCAAAGCTTCAGGACCATAGACCAGCTCTTTGTCTGTCACGGAGGCCGGCAGAAGGGGAATGCCGTCTCTAAGCAGAGGATGACCCACTGGATTGTGGATGCCACCACACTGGCTTATTTATGTATATAAAATATTGTAACAACTGATAAGCATTTGTAAGAAACAGATCATAGAAATAGTTGATTCCAGTCTCATTTGGAAGAATAGTCCCCACACCCACTGGAAAGCAATTTCAATCAAGGTTCCAACTGAATTTCTGCATAGAGGACCCTATTTTTTCTATTGTATATTCTATAAAGTAATGACTCATTCAGTTTTAGACAGTACGTTGCCAAGAATGAACAAATTCAACACTTAAAAATGTAAAATGGTTTTCAGTTGTAGGTAACTAAATGACAAAAAACAATGGATTTTTATATTGTCTATATGCAGGTCGAACTGAAACATGACAAGCAATGCAGTTTTTGTAAAGCCATCAACTGTTTGTATTTTGACAGTCACTGTGCTATGATTGACTATATGTTCCTGTTGGATAGAAAAGTAGTGCTAATGTTTTGACCGAATGACTCGATTTTGAATTGGGTTTGCTAGTTAATATATGTAGAAAAAGGTATTCAGCATTTTGAAATGTAGAGTTTGTATTTATTTAACAAAATGTGGTTTTGGAAATGAAAAATCAGAAAATGAACTATTTGGCTAATTGTGTGATGTAGGTGTGTTACTGTGTTAAGAGTTTAGAAAAAGTTTAGAAAAAGTACTTTAATATTGGTAAACGCTTGTTAGCAATTGAAAAAAAACTGTCACTTGAACACCATTGTGGTCATAAAAAATTGTTTATGTAAAATGGCATCAGAATTCCTTGATGTAACTGGACACAAGGGTTGATTATGGGATGTGGGTTGGATTTCAGATTGAAGTGAACAAGCAACTGTGTGTGAGGGGGAGGGGAGGTCAGAGGTCAACTCAATGCTGATGTTTTACATGAGTAAAACAGCAGTAGT